ACCATAAATAGGAATCCAATAGGAAAGTGACACGTTTGAGGAAACTTTTGGGAGATGCCACACCATAAACTAATCATCAAAGAGAGAGAGATTTCTCTTTATTTAGTGCGATTCTTGGCTGGCCTAAATTAAGAACGGTGTTAGCCATGATGATTTAGTGTGGTGGATTGATATATGAGATTAATTTTAATAAAAATCCATTAATTTTTTAAAAAGAAAAAAATATTTAAAGTTATATAAAAAATTATAATTATAACTGTAAACTAAATGCATAATTATTGATATAATAATAATAATAATAATAATTTTATATTAGCATATGTTTAAAGTATTTATATTCTTCTCGTATTCAGAATTTAATCTCACTATTTTTCAATTAAAAGATTTAGATCCGGTCATTAATGTCGTTAAAATTACGTTATTAAAGTTAATTACATCAACAATCAGTTGATCTAGTAGGGTGAGACACATGAATTTTTTTATGCAAAATTAAGGGCTCGGATTTTGATATTATGAATAGAGTAAACAAAATTAAGAAAGTCACGTGTCTAATATTTTTTTAATACTATTTCCAGATTAATCGATTAATAAATGACAATTTGAAAATACCAAGTCTATTGTAACATTATTTTTTATTATGGGGCTTCTAAATTATTATTTTTTAAGAAAAAAAAAGATATATATTCCTTTCTTTAAAAACTATTAGTACTTACCTATAGGCATCAATAATTAAAGGTGATTTGATTAGCATTTTGGGAAAGATTCAATGCAGTAATATATTAATTACATTTCTTTTTATAGATTATATTTGTTAAAATCCAATTAATGGCAATAAATATTGTTGATAATTTAACTTGCATGATTTTAAAGACAAGTACCAACGACAGTTGGTCTAGTGGAATAAGGCACTAGGTCCCTTAAGTAAGGCAGGGGTTCGAATCATAGCGTTTGTGATTTGTTAAATAATGATTGTAAAGTATAATTTGGGATGAGGCACTAGGGTAAATTATAAGATTGGTCCCTCTATTTTACTTTTCACTTCTGGTCATCGTTTTGAAAAAAAATTATGATTTAGTCACGTGCATTATCTATTTGTTATATTTGGTCATTGTGTTATCGTATGTTCGTTATCGATATCGATGTTTCACACTCGATCGTAAGTGATTACCAATTTTCATCCAAAATAAATAATTTTTTCATTAAAATTAAAACATTACGGGTTAAATTACTTTAAAAAAAAAAGAATAAAGTAAAGAGGTTATTCAAGCAAATGTTAAAATGTTTTGGAATGTGTGGTAGAATATAAAACCAACATTAAATTATTAAAATATCAATAATATAAAAAATAAAATTAAATATAATAATAAAGTATAATGAAATTAATTACAAAATATTTGACCTCAATTAAAATATGATATTACTTAAAAAATACTAACATTAAAATATTATTATTTCCAACATGGCCATATCAAATCTATTGTTGGACTTGAAATATTATGCTAAAAAATAATTGAATATAAAAAAAAATATCAATTTGAGAACTTTTTATATTAAGGGATATTGGCATCAAATTCTTTTAATTGTTGAGTCAATCATTTGATAAGATTCATCATTGTTCTAAGTTTAGTGATTATTGTTTATATATATTGTTTTTTTATTGGGAAAATATTCCATTATTTGTTCACCAATAATTTCAAAGAGTGATAATTTAATAAAAAAAATAGGTAAATTACGCTTTATTACCTAAACTATTAGTTCGATCTATTTTAGTGTTTACACATTATTCAAATCATATCTAATATTTAGTTTTTGTTTTATTTAGTATCTCGGCGTTAAAAACTTAACAGGTGATGTGCACGTGGCTAGGGATGGGAATGGGTCGGATTTTCGGTCCACCCCACGTAACCAGAAAATATATTCTCCACCGACCCAAAAAATTTACATCTTCCACCCAATCCGACCCAAAATAATATATTTATTAAAAAGATTACTTTATTCAATAAAAATATAGATTTAATTGAAAAAAAATATATAGATGTTATTATTCAATTATCCCTAGTTTTTTTATTTTAGTATCTCGGCGTTAAAAACTTAACAGGTGATGTGCACGTGGCTAGGGATGGGAATGGGTCGGATTTTCGGTCCACCCCACGTAACCAGAAAATTATATATTCTCCACCGACCCAAAAAATTTACATCTTCCACCCAATCCGACCCAAAATAATATATTTATTAAAAAGATTACTTTTATTCAATAAAAATATAGATTTAATTGAAAAAATAATATATAGATTGTTATTATTTCAATTATCCCCAAATATATAGGTAAAATTACAATTTTTTTTGAGTTGGATCGATTATTTTTCACCCTAAACCCGAACCCAACCTGACTCGAATATAACCCCTAAAAACCCGACCTGAGCTGGATTTATTTTTTTTTTAAAAATCCAACCCGATCAGGAACCCGTGGGGTTTGAGTCCTATGCCTATCCCTACACGTGGCACATTTTTTACGAGTAAATTGCATCATTCACTACTAAACTATCTTCTCACTCCTATTTTGGCAACTAAAGTTTAAATTTTTTAAATTTGATTACTTAATTTTCAATTTTTTTTATTTTTAATTATATAATAATAATAATAATGTCATGGCACAAAAATATGAATAAAATAAATTAGAGTGATTAAAATAGGAACAATTTTAAAGTTGAGTAATTAAATTAAATTTTTTTGAACTTTAGTACCAAAATATGAGTGCGAAGATAGTTGAGGGATGAATGTGTAATTTACTCATAAAAATGCAATGCCGTTAAATTTTTAATGGCGATTACTAAAACAAAACAAAAACTAAATGTTTGGTACTAAAACAAATCAAAATTGATAGTTTATATACTAAACGTGTAATTTACCCTAAAAGTTATGAAAATAGCTTGACATATATATCAATCACCAAAATGTTGAAGTAGCTAAGAAACTATTCGATGTTTTTGAATAAATTTAGAATTAAAACTTAATTAAATTTGAAACTTTTAAGTGTTGAATTTATAATATAAAAATTATTTTATGTACCGCTAAAAGTATACCAAGATCTTACTATAATAAAAGTATAAAAAGCAAATTTAACCAATATAATAAAGAGTAAACTACATATTTAGTATTTAAATATTACTTTTGTTCCATTTGGTACTCAAACTTTGTTTGTTTCAAAATTATACCTAATATTTTGTTTACGTTTTATTTTTGGATCCCAACGTTAAAAACTTAATGGTGATGTTGATTTGTCAGCATAAAGTAATGCCACTTTATTATTAAAAATAAAAATTTTCTTGTCAATAATTCTGTTAATCGTTTAACGATGAATACTAAATTAAAATATAAACTAACGTTAGCCATACTTTTGAAAAAAAGTAAAATTTGATTATCAAAACGAAATAAAATTAATAATTTAAGTGCTAAACGTGTAATTTACCCAAAAAAAATATTACATGAAACTATCTCACAAGTTATACGAATCCCAAGCAAATATAGTGTCCCGAGATATACATTTGGGAATTCATTTGCGACAGTCTTAATATACGGATAAATAAAGATGATATTAATTTTGTTATTATTTTTTTTAATATTTTCGGTAAAAAATTACTTAAAAATTTATTATTTATACCGATTTTGTTATTATTGTGCGCCTTATCGATTTTATTAATATATCCGATAAAATACTATCTAAAATAATTTTTTTTATTAATTTTATTATTATTGGACATTTTACCAAAAATATTAAAAAATATTAATATTTTATGTAAAAATAATAATATTTTAAATAATTTTTTTACTAAAAATATTAAAAAAATAATAGGTAATACTTTTCTTTAATATTATATTAAGACTATAGCACGATAAAACACCCCTCTCTACCATTAACTATAAAAACAGAAACATGTAAAGCAAATCCCAACACTTCTCCCCTGAATCTGTGTGAAAAGAAAAAGAAAAATTCAATCTTGATAAATAAAAAAAAAAGAACAAAAATGTTGCATTTGTGTGAAAACCCCCATTTCAGATACAATTGCTTGATGTTCTTATTTCGGGGTTTTCAGCTTCTGGGTTTAAATTATGGGTTTGGGGTGAATTCAGGGTTTCATTTGAATCAGTCATTTACATACATCTGGCCATTGCCGTATGAGCTTAACTCAGGCAATGAAACTTTGACTGTGAACCCAGCTCTCTCTTTGTTTATCATTTTGAGGAAGGGTTTAGAGATACAAGAAGATTATATTTAATTTCTCTTACGGGGTTCCGGTTTTTGAAGATTCGAGACGGATAAGATCCGTATTCGATATTATGAATTGAGGATTATTGTGAATTCAGATAGTGATGAGGTAATTTGGAAACCCCCTTTCCCCCCTGTAATTTCAATTAAGGGGGTTTTCTCTTCTTTTTAGATTGTTTTTGGTCTAATTATGGCAGCTCAGTTGGGTGTGGATGAGGGTTACACTTGTTCATCAAAGGTTAAGGGAAGTCTATTGCTTGGGAGACTACAGTTGAGGTAAGTTTGAAACTTGTTAGTTTTTTTAACTGATTCTTAGTTTTGGATTGATTATGCTGCAAATCTGCAATTTTGTTTTATGTTTCGTTAATTTTCGGTTATCGGTGCTTATTGCTTAAAGTCTTGTGGAACTAGTTTATTGGATCTCCTAGGTGTGAGTAAGTGATCAAGATATTCTTAGCTTGATTAGTGTTTTTGATTTGAATTAACCTCATGAAATGATTGAATAATAGTTATGCATGCGTTCTTTTGATGTGCATTGGCTTATCGATTGTGATCCTCCGATGGCCGGGATAATGTTTGATTCTGCTTGGTTTTGAAACTTTTTGTTTCTAGTGTAAAATTCGTATCTACAGAGTAAATGTAGTATGAGACCATTTCTGAGTTCAGTTTGCATTAAATAAAAGTGTGACGATGGCTGATATTATGTCTGTCTTCCTTCTTTTCGGCAGGTACCATTTACGGTGCGTTAAGAGCGTTGGAGGTATGTGGTCAATCATTTACTCGAAAACTGAACTGGTTATTACATGGTACATTGTCGTAACCGGTTTTCGTCCGGGCACGATTAATTAAATTTGGCGGGGACATTGATGTGAATAAATAATTTTGAAAATAATTTGTGAGTCGCCATCGGCCTTTTGGGTCAGGGAGGTCGAATACCTAAAAAAATATCTTTTGAAAGAGTTTTTAAGAAAACATCAATTAAAAGATAAACTGATCTGCGTTTTAACCAAAAATTCGTTCTTTTTAATAATAAAAAGGGATTCGTGGTCGGTTACGTTTAGGGAAGGATTAGCACCCCTACAACGCCCAAAATTGGTACTTTTTAATTATAAATTGTCTCTATTATTAAAATTTAAAAAATAAAAAAAATATATATTAATTTATATTCTATTATTTCAAAATTATATAAAATATTTATTTATTTAAAAATATCAGAAAAGAACTTCTAGGTGCCTTAAGACAGCTCTTTCTTTTGATATTGATAAATATTAATTTAAATAATATGTTTAAAAAATATCAGAATAGGACATCCAGTTGTATTAAGACTGCCATTTTCTTTGATATTGAAAAATAAATATTAAAATATGATAAAATAATTTATGTAAAATATTTAAATTATTATTTATTATATATATATTTATATGATATATAATAATAATCTAATATTTAAATATATAAACAAGTAAATTAAAACAATAAAAATACAATTAGAACTATATATCTAAAAGCAGTAAAATAAATGAAAATATTTGAAAAGTGATTAAATTATAATAAAATTAAAATTAAAAACCTAATTCAATATTAATTTAAAATTATAGGGATTAAAACATGTTATTTTCATTATTTATATTTAGTGACTAAAATAAAATTATAAAAAATCGAATATCAGATTAAAAATATAAACTCAGGATTAAAACATGATTTATTAAAACTAAAGGACTAATACGTATTTATCCTAAATATATTATTTAATAGAAATGACAAAAATAAATAAAAGTAAATTAAAGAACCAATTAAAATGATTATAAATTGATTTAGTGACTAAAATGTAAAGATTACAAGTTAGGATGGCTGCGAAAAGGGTTTAACCTTTAGTTTATTACAACAGATCCCTCCCCAAAATGGCGGCGTTTGGGGAGGGCTATTTAAGTCCCTTCATAGTGGCCCGAAGGGCCAGCAGCTCATTCTTCTCATTTCTTCTTCTCTCTCACAAACGAGAGAAGAAGAAGCTCTCTCGGCTCTCTCTAGCTTCCCTCATCGGAGGGAAGCCGGTCACCGGGCGGCAACCGTCTGCCGCCGTGACCCTGCCGCCGGCCACCGCCTCCGGTGGCCGGAAATTCTCAAATTTTCCCAAAATTAGATCTAAACGCCCTAAGACCAAATCTGGTTTTTGTTTTCCCTAAAAACCTTTAGGTTCTTGTAGATCTAATTTTTTTACCTCCGAACTTTGATTCCACGGTGGTTCGGCAGCTCTTCGATGGTGAGTTTCTTCTTCGTTCTCTCATTCTGTCTTTCGTTTTCTTTGGATATGTTTGCTCTCGTCGTTACTGTGTTGTGTCTTGCTGGGTATATTTTTTTTGTTCCGTTTTGTTGTCGATCTCCGGTTCTTCCTCCCCTTTTTTCTGTTGCAGGTGTGGTCGATGGCTTTTATAGCTATCGACGGTGTGGCTCTCGGACCGGTCAAAGGAATGGAGTTCGGTGAGTCACCGAGCTATGTGGTGACTCACCATAGAGCTCGACATGTGGAGGGGCAGTTGGCTTCTGGAGGCTTCTGGCGAGGCGGCGACTTCGTGGCGGCACTGGCAGCTGGAACGTCTGGAAGCAGCGCGGCTGAATGCTAACCTAGGGTTATGAAACCCTAGGGCTTCACGCTGGTATCCTGTGGACCGTTGGATCTGAAAGATCCAACGGTGATAGAAGCGGCGGCTGGGTGTATGAGATTTTCAGAAAACCCTAAAAGGGTTATGGTTTCTCGGTCTGGGCCTGGGTTGGGCCGGATTTGGCCCGTTTGTAATAATATTATATAATATTAGTAATAAATAATAATATTAGTAATTATAATTATAATAATAATATAATAAATATATTTAAATGAAAAATGAGTATCTTCAGCTGCCCCTCTTTGCTTTTTTCTTGTGTTAACAAGAATAGAGTAAAGATAAAAGATAATAGTTTTTCATTTGACTTCACTTGGTTAATATGGAAATGTTGAATAAGTTCTTCTCTTTCTTCAGATGAGTTCTCTCCTTATGAACTTTCTACTGGATGATGTTGACCTATTTCCTTCTGTTATAGAGTCATTCAAAAGGTTGAATAAGCTCTTCTCATTATGAACTTCTTCTTCTTTTTTTTCTTCAGATGACGAGTTCTTCTCATTATGAACTCTTCCTGGCAATGTTGATCCATCAAATGATGAATTTAAACAAAAGGTTGAACAATTCTTCTCATTATGAACTTCTTCTTCCTTCTCAGATGAGTTCTTCTCATTATGAACTTTTTCTGGAAAGCTGATCCATCAAGAGATGGATTTGAGCAAAAGGTTGACAAATTCTTCTCATTATGAATTTCTTCTTCCTTCTTCAGATGAGTTCTTCTCATTATGAACTCGAACTGGAAATACTGAATCATCGAATGATGAATTCAAGCGAAAAGTTGAACAAGTTCTTCTCATTATGAACTTCTTCTTTTTTCTTCAGATGAGTTCTTCTCATTATGAACTTGAACTGGTAATGCTGAATCCTCGAATGATGAATTTAAGCGAAAATTTGAACAAGTTCTTCTCATTATGAACTTCTTCTTTTTTCTTCAGATGAGTTCTTCTCATTATGAACTCGAACTGTAATGCTGATCCATCGAATGATGGATTTGAGCAAAAGGTTGAACAAATTCTTCTCATATGAATTTCTTCTTTCCTTCTTCAGATGAGGTTCTTCTCATTATGAACTCGACCTGGAATGTGATCCATTGAATGATGGATTTAAACTTTGCTAAAATCTTTGAAATTCCTGTCAAATATTCAACATGGGTAAAATGAATGAAAATGCTCCTATTTTGCAAATGTCTAAATATGATGCATGAATGTTGATGCAATCTTCGTTTAACTTCAAAATAGTGAACTCGGTTTTCCTCCACTTCATCATTTATTGCCAGGGTCACCTCTGGATATCAGTGTAGCAACTTATGCTATCAAGCTTGCATTTCTGAAGAACTATCTGATCAACTTGTATCTTTATGTATTCTTTGCTTCATGAAAGTCTCAGAAGAATTGTTTTATTTGTGGAACTCTTTCGTAGTCAGAATTATGACCTTAATGCCCCATTTTGTCTTGGATAAAACCAACTTTATTTGTTTGGACTTGTGTAGAAATCCCATAAAGTTTTCATCTTTGAAAGAGAATCTGTCATCTTTAAAAAGAGAATCCATCTCTTGAAGAGTGTAGATGTAGATATGCCTGACTTAGCAGGGATTAATTAAGAGAGTAGAGTCTGTTCTAACTTAACTCTTGAAACATATCACAAGGAAGATTTATTCCAATTCCTTTCATGTCTCCACATCTAATTGGATCTCGAACAAAGCAACTTGGACCATATAATATGTCTCCATATTTAACTAGTTTCTTGTGGATCAATAAATGGAAATACCATATGGTTACAACATTGGTTCAGCATCATAATCACTGGTTCGTAAAACGTTTGACAACACATTCATCCTGTTGTAGCTTCTATCAGATGTTCGTAAAACATTTGACAACACATTGTGGCTTCTGCCCGGATTTCTGGTCAATGATCATGATGTCACAAGACCACTTGAGAACAAAACTCAGTGGGAATACAAATGAGATATTGGTATGGCCAAAAAGTTGCTCAAATCCACAAGATATGCTAGTATCGAATTGAATAAGAGATACCAACTGATCTTGATATCATCTCGGGCAAGGGCAAGTGTGATACTGATCATGTTTTCTTCTGTAATGAGCATTGTAGAAAGTAGAAACACTTCAGCTATAGGATCCATGTACGGAAGGGAATTCATGGAATTCTTGCTGTTGGGGATGAAATGCACATGATAAAACCAAAATAGATGAAAACTCAGTTCACCCTGGCTGAATATGATAACCCCAGTAATAACGGGAATAACAGTAATATAAGTGAGTCGAGTCTCCCTTTTCAATGTCATCAAGTAAGCAAAAATTGATGTGAAAAACAACTTCATAACCTCAACAGTATGATTGAAACTAACTGTCAGGAATCTCAAAAAGCTATTTTCAATCATCACCAACACACATAATGCAAAATTCAAAGCTGAGATCTTGAGGAACTGAACCCTGGATCAAATAGTCTGCCTGGGGACCATCTTTATTCATGCAACCATGATGTATCTTAACAAAGAACACACTGTCATGTGATACATGGTTTAATAAGATTGGGTATTTGAAACCATACTTGCTGAGTAGATATTTGTTCAACAATAGGACCCTAATGCAACTGCCTGATGAACGAAGCAATTATGTGTAGTTAGCTCGACTGCCACTATTTTACCATTTTCATTCTTTATACATTTCTGTCTCATTGGAAATATTGCTCAAGTCAATGATCTTTAACACATGATGGTGTGGGCCTTCGGCATGCCCCCGTATTTTGCTGATATAAACGTTCAAAATACATCAACATTTCTGATTCTAATTGAAAAAGGCTTTCAGCATGCCCCAGCATTGGCTTCTTGTTAATCTGAGCCTTCAAAATGCCCCACATGGATCTGTCTGAAGAAACCTTTAAAATGCCCCAACATTTGCTGATACAGATGTTAAAAACTGCATTCAACATTACTTCTTGCTGAGATGAGCCTCCAAGAATGCCCAAATATTCATATTGTTGTGAGCCTTCAAAAATACCCCAATATTCTATCTCTGGTTAAAATGGGCTTTCAAGATGCCACAACATTTTGCTTCTGGTTCACTCTCAACGTCTGTTTAACTTGAAT